TATATATATATAAACATTATAATGTAGTCTATCAAAGACACATGCAAATGTATATACATATGTATATAAGTGTATTTGAAAAAGCCTGGCAGCGTTAAAAGCTTATAAAAGCTCTATAGATCACACTCAATCTCTCTCCCTCTCTCTCATCATAATCTCTCGTACTTTTGGTATTTCTAAAAATAGCCTGGCATCTGTTGAATGTTTCCTAATAGCTATGCGAATGGATATTACTTAATATAAACTGAGAGAAAAGCTTTTCAGGAACACACGAAAGCATTTCGCCTACGCCAGTCTTTAGATAGATTCGAACGTCGGCCAGTCTGGTTCTGTATCAAATTACAGTGTACCCTGTTGGATAAAGAGCTTGTGATTTTGCAATATTTTGAAATATATATAGATATAATTGGGGTCTTTGAGGTCTTATAAGCTATGAGAATTATTTCCAAAAAAAAACAATTCTTTTTAGAAGTTATGCTACATTTTATTGTCTTCTTTTGTCCTGCCTCAACATATTTTTGTAAATTTATCTCATCTAAGCACGTTTTTATTAGCCTATTGACTATATTTGCATATACATATTCACAGATCATATATGTATCTATATGTATTTTAATCTCATGCAATGCGTTTAATTGAAATTCTAGAACTCAAGTTGTGGTTAAGACAAAGACATTGGCTTTTCTTCATTTTTTTGTCATCATAATTTTTTGCATTAGTTCAAACTGTTTGCCAAAGTTGTTTAACCTCAATTTTTTTTTTTTTATATATTTATCTTAAATATTTGAAATACTTGACAAARTATTTGCGGTTATTCACAGCACTTTGACTAGTTGAATTATTTGTTATTTGCATTTTAGATTTGATTATGTAATTTTACGACAATGTCCTTTTTTAATTTTTTAAGAAAACTCTCGGCACTTGTTTGTTTTTCAATTACATTTTTGCTTTTAACTTAAATGTTAGCTGCAGCACAATTAATATTTGTTAATTTAATGTTGAACTGTTTGAAAAGATTTAACTAGTTTGATTCTTTGTAGGTTTTCTTGTTTATTCCTTTTACTTACAAAACTTTTATTCGGAGTTATCCGCGACTTGAACGGATTGTGATGTTCAACTGAAAATATTTATTCAATATACTGACGTTCGATGCCCGCCGTTTTTCGATCTCAAGCTGTTTGCGCCTGTGTGCGTGTGCAGAGCCTGTGTGTGTGCGAGAGAGAGTGAGCAGAAATACATTTTGGGCAAAGCAGCGAATCAACGAGGCAGGCAGCACTGCTGCACCGCCTCACTCGCACGCTCGCACGCTCGTTTGCTCTCTCAGCAGCTGGCATGCGTTTTGCATGCTCAACACAAATCGTTGAGTGCTCAAATTTTTATTTTGTAACTGCATTCACGATGGCTACAGACGACGGGCGCTCAATTTACGAGCGCGTTATTTTTCTGCATAAGCACGAGAAATCAAAGAACACAAAAAAAGAACAAGTCGATGCAGCAACAACAACGAAATGGTGGCGCTCATTTAAATAACTCTCTCTCTCTTTCTCTTTCACCTGTTCCTGTGTAGGCGCAAAGAATTTTAAAATTTCCCAGTATATTTTAAGCTTAATGTGCCTGTATTCTTCTCTGTGTGTGTATATGAAGATTTTGTTTTATTTTATTTGGCTGATTTTTTTTTTTTTTTTTGAGCTATTTTTAAATTTTAGTTATTGATATGCCAAAAAACAAAATCTTGCTTCACATTTTCTCACACATTCACATACAAATTTTTTTGCTATATTGTGAGTATTTTTTATAGATTTTTCAAAATGTTTTTATAATTTTGAATTTATTTCCCTCTGCATGGAAAATCATATACATATATGTGAATACTTGTATATATATTATTTTTAAGCCAAGACAGTTAAAGCAATTGCTGTAAGACTGTTCTGAGTCACAATCTAGTGCAGAACGTGATAAATACCAGTTTATGATTTAAAGCCTAACCTATCTATATCTAAAGATAAAATATTTTACTTTTGAGCACGCACAATTTATTAAATATATTGTTGCTAAATGATGATATAGATTATGCTACAAAAGCTATCTACTTTTATTAATAATTTCTCTTTAAGATTAATATATGTATTTACATATTCAGCTCCGTAATCTAAACTTTTATAATTCAGATAGCCGTTATATATTTCAGACTTTTACTTGTCTATCACTTTAAAAAATTATATTATTGTTTTTAATATCTTTATGTAGCTCCTATAAGGAATCCTAATACCTAAATCCTTAATATAAGATATGTATATAAAAGGTAGTAGTCGAAAGTTATGGTATATCTATTTTAAAAAAAAAAATTTTTTATTTACATAAAATTGCCTACAATTTTTTTCACATTTCATATTAAGTAAGTTAGTTAAGTAATTATTTATTATTTTTTATTAACGACTTAACTTAACTTGTATTTATAAAAATTATGAAAAGAA